ACACATTGTCAACCACGTGGAGCCAAGGAATCTCACCTTACATGCGGGACTAAAGGATCCACCATCATCGCACGGGGCCAAGGGGACCCACCCATTACATGGCACTACATTATGGGTCCGCTCCCCGGCTTTGATACCATGTAGAATTTTATGGCTTAATTTTCATGTCTTCCATAATTCTCAATATAAGTACATACAATCCTTGTTACATAAGGAAACAATAAAAGACACAAATATATCCTTCCTAAAACATATCTCTAATATTTACACAATATTTACATTCCTCTTCCTTAAATATTGACTCACCCCAATACTCCCCCTCAAGTTTGGTGCATAGATATCACACATACCCAACTTGATAAGTGAGTCATTGAAGCTCCTACTACACACAACATGAGTAAGAATATTTGCAAGTTGTTCTTCTGAGCTAACGAACGGTATTTACACCACATTATTCTCAAGCTTCTCTTTAATAAAATGTCGATCAACCTCAACATGCTTAGTCATATCATGCTGTATTGGATTTTGTGCTATTTCTCTCGCTGACTTATTGTCACAATACAAATTCAACGCCTCTTTTTGCTTAAAGCCGAGACCCATAGCAACTTTCATAGCCAAGGGATCTCACACACTACATGCACCATGCCTCTGAATTCGGCTTCCGCGGAAGACCGTGACACCACCTTTTGTTTCTTATTTCGCCAATTAACCAAATTACCTCCAACAAATGTAAAATACCCGGACGTAGAACGCCTATCAGTCATATCTCTTGCCCAATCGACATCAGTAAATCCCTCAATCTTCATATGGCTATGATGTTCATACAAAATTCCCTTCCTCAGAGTAAACTTCAAATACCCCAAAATTCGCATAACTGCAGTCATGTGATCCACACTTGGTGAGTGCATAACCTGACTCACCACACTCACTGCTTAGGCAATATCTGGACGAGTGTGGGACAAATAAATTAGTCTCCCTACCAGTCTCTGATATCTGCCTTTGTCAACTGGTTTCTGATCTGGATAAATCTATAAATAAGGTTTCTCAACAACAGGAGTGTCCACGGGTTTACATCTAAGCATACATGTCTCCTTCAATAAATCCATAACATATTTACGTTGAGACAAAAAAATACCTTTAAACGAACGAGCCACTTTTACTCCAAGGAAATATTTTAAATCTCCCAAATTTTTCATCTCAAATTCAGCGGCAAGACTCTTTTTCAGTTTTACCATCAATTCCGAATCATCACCTGTTATCATCATGTCCTCCACATAAATAATTAAAACTGTCACTTTGCCACTTCTCTGTTTTACAAACAACGTGTGGTCGGAGTGACTCTGGTAATATCCATTCCTTCTCATGACTTGAGTAAATCTACCAAACCATGCACGAGGCGATTGCTTAAGCCCATAAAGCGACTTTTGCAACCTACACATTCTAGTTTTCCCTCCAACATTATATCCCGGAAGAAAATCCATATATACTTCTTCTTCCAAATGCCCATGAAAGAAAGCATTTTTTACATCAAACTGTTTCAATGGCCAATTCAAATTTGCAGCTAATGAAATAAGAACACGTACTATATTCATCTTGGCTACTGGGGAAAAAGTTTCCTGGTAATCAATATCATACGTTTGACTATAACCTTTTGCTACTAACCTTACTTTATACATGTCTATTAATCTGTTGGCCTTATATTTAATTGTAAAGACCCATTTACACCCAACTATTTTTTTTCCTTTCAGTAGTTCCATCACTTCCCATGTATCATTCTTATGTAGTGTCATCATCTCTTCATCCATTGCAGCAGCCCATTTAGGATCCTTCAAGGCCTCCTTAACTCGGGTTGGTACTTGGATTGCTTGCACATTATTCGCCCATGGTTGGCATTTAGGCGCAAGGTTCTTGCATGACACATAATTTGTTATTGGATACTTTACTTTTCCTTCGGTAGAAAACCTTTCAGGAGGAACACCACGATTTTGCCTTGGTGGCAACTTATATGTACTTACAACATTATTTGGATTAGTTACATGAGCATTTGTAGTACTTACCTTAGGGATATTCAAAGAAGACACATTGAATGGCACTATCGAGCTAGATAGAGAGAGGATGATGTGGGTTCAGCAGATGGTACTTCTTCCCCTGATGTACTTAGTTCGGCAACAACTAGATGCTGGATTGTTGTAGCTTCCTCAGCATGACCTTGCCGATGGCCCACACCTGTCTTAGCAGGCAGCAGTTGAAGTCCTATATCACTCTCGGCAGTTCCTTGCCGAGAGACTGGTGTCCCATTTTTATCCTTGTCGTTAACACATGCTCTGCCTGAACTACATGTCACATCCTCTAGTACTTCTAACCACCCAAGATAACTATGATCACCACTAGTGTTCTCCCCCTGGTGATCTGAAGGTGATGGGATCGAAGAATAAAAATACTCTGATTAAAAAAAAAGTAACATCCATAGTCACATACATATGTTAAGCTTCAGGGTGATAGCACTTATACCCTTTCTGTTGGGGGGCAAATCCAACAAAAACGCACCGAAGGGCACATGGATCCAACTTGATACGATGAATCTTGTGGATTTGTCGTTGGATATGTAGTAGCCTTTTATTTTATTTTATGGAATTTATGTTTTATTCCTTGACTCTAGCTAGGCTTCACACCTTAGCTAGATAGCCATAGCTTCTTCATATATATTTTTTTTTGTTTTTCATCCAAGCAGATCAGGAATCCTGCACAATTGCACCTTATGCATTCAAATCCCTAAATTTTGGTACTACTTTTACAAAGAGACAACATCGTGCTTTTCTTGGAATTTGGACAAGGATAGGATGCAATTTATTGAACCGCTTCACTAAAATACAGTTTCTCACTTTTGCAATATCATGGGAAATTTGAAACTCAAAACTGAACTCGCGTGGATCCTAACTTTTACCCATCCTGTTGCCCCATATACTGGAATATGGGAATCAGCAATTTGTCATTTTGGTGCTGCTTCTGTTTCAAAACACCACCGAGTTGATATATGCATTCTTACATTCTTGAATTGTTGAAAAAAACTGGTGTATTATAGGGCTCAAATTCTGGAGGATCCTCATCCAAAAATAAATATACCTAATGATAACACTAATGAATAGAACATAAATAATGATAGTATGAAGTTTATCAAAAAAAATAATGATAGTATGAATGAAATATAGCTATGGGCTTTACTCTTTCTACGCAAACAAACACTTTCTACACTGTTTGTGTATCCCAAGTCATATTGCACACTGTCAATGTCGATAGATGCCAGTTGTAAGTTGTGAGTGTCAAAGAACATGTGCTCACTATTTCTTGACATACAAGTAACTTGGTCAATCCGAGTTAATAGTTGACAAAATTATGGAGCCTTATTTGGTTAGGTTTAGGAGTCCTTATTTAGTGCAATTAATTATGAAAACCTTAATTAGTTGACAAAGACTTTGTTAACATTTAGGACTATAATGAAATCCTAATTGATTTGGAATATCCCTTTAATCAATTAATAGGCCAGATTAAAGAGATAAGTGTCTATATATTAGGACATATTAGGAGGTTCCTGCACTCACAGCATTATCCTATCTTGTGCTAAAAACCCTATTTGATAGCAAGGACTCTCAGACTCTCAGTTGCTTGAGTGTAGAGGACTCCTTTTGAAACCCTAGCAGTCATGGCTTCTTCTTCCTCCGCTTTGGAAGATTAGTTTATTTCCCCTTAATTGTTTGATTGGTTTATTGTAACTATTTATGTTTTATCTATGATCCTGGTAACTTGTTTTTCAATTACTTCTTACACCAATAACATTCAAGGGTAAGCATGTTGACTGATGCCAACATATACCGATAACTTTTAAGCAAGCATGCCGACCAATGCCAACATATACCGAGTCGGTTTATCGACATATGGCCATAGCAACACATACAAATATAAAGCCATGAGGTTAGCAGCTACCCTACTCAGTACCCATAGAGGCAATTCGTTGAGCAATTAGAAGATAGCTTTCAAGAACATCTCCGATTTTTAAAAGACAACACCTAACATTTTTATAAAAAATTTCTGAGTTTGAAGGATCAGCTGACCCACCTTACCCCCAAGATGGATCTGCCCCTGGTGGCCATATGTTTAAATACTTATCTCAAAAAGAGACAATAGTGTGCTTTTAGTTGGACTTTGGACAGAGATGGGATAGAATATATTTTATTGATGGCAGAAGATCGTCCTCAATAAAAGACAGTTTCCCACTTTTGCATCATCGTGAGAATTGGGAATTCAGCTTGAGGATCATCATATAATTTGTCATTTGGTTGCTGCTTCTGTTTCAAATCAAATAATTGAGGGTCCCTAGTTGATACGTACATCCCCACATTCATGGACTGGTGAAAAAAAAAAGAAAAATTAAAGTATCAAATTGTCAATGGGGCAGAGAAAAAAACTAGGGTTTATGAAGAACACTTTCTCTCATAGTCATATGAAATATGAAAGCTGCAAGACTTGTTTGAGTGTTTGTTATACAAGCAATTTTATTTCCCATCTCAATTTCTTGTAGCACAAACATGCCTACATATGTGTCTCGAAGTCTTTGCCAAGGTCACCAAAAAGAGGATTTGGAGATGGAGGTCTTGAACTGCTCACCAACTTCCTCGTGGGGAATATATATTGATTTTTAAACCCAAATTTGAGCACAAAAGTTGGTTAAATCATCATCTACCAATCAAGACCCTATGACAAAGTTTAATTAAGTACTTGATGATTAGTTAAAGGCAGATTATTGTTCTCCTACAATCAAATAAAAATAATAAGATCGAAATAGTATCTATAATATTTAATAGATAATCAAGAAATTAAGCAAGAAATGCAATTCACTTCTCACAGTTGAAGTTAGGTCATCTAATTATTCACCAATCCTCGTACACAATATACCTATAAATGAAACTTCTTTCTTATTATGTCTCATTTCATCTCACAAATTAAAAATGGCAAAGCTGCCTCAAATTCTAGTTTGTGTTCTTCTTGTTCTTGGATTTGCATTGACAAGCTCCGCCACAGTTTACACAGTTGGGGACACCTCCGGCTGGGACATAAGCACTGACCTCAATTCATGGTCCAACAACAAGACATTCAAAGTTGGCGATGCGCTATGTAAGTATACATACATTATCCCATGACTCAGATCGAAACCAAATAGCGTATTTTCTGTTGAATAACAATACGAGCAATTCTTGAATAACCTCCTCAAAAGGTTAATGCAAATACACGATTTTTTGTTCTACGTCTTCTAGCTATATATAAACTCTCGTTTACTTTTGGTCATTGGGAAAACTCTTGTTTACTTTTGTGGTTTTGAGAAAACAAAACTTTGATGAATAACGAACCGATTTCAAGCAAATAATATAAAAATTCATTAGGTAACTTACTTCCGTTTAATTTCTTTTTAATTTTTTGTTTAATTTTACAGCTTTTCAGTACTCATCATCTAACAGTGTGAGTCAAGTGACCAAAGAAAGTTTTGATGTTTGCAACACAACAAAAGTTATAAAGACATATACGGGAGGAAACACAACAGTTACATTGACAAAACCTGGTGACTGGTACTTTGTGAGTGGGAGCAAGCTGTATTGTTTGGGAGGGATGAAGATCGTAGCAGAAGTAGAAAACAACCAGGCTTATGAGCCGGCCGGGGCGCCAGAGGCAGGAACTGGTTCCCGCCAAGGGGATCTTCCAAACCCTACTACTAAGAGCAACAGTCCCACCTCATCTGCTTTCATCAACTGTGGACCTAATGCCTTTGTGCTGGCCATCTTTGGTCTTATTGCTGTCACGCTATATATGGAAGTGACAATTTGAGATTTTGTATTTGTGATGAAATTATATTGACAATTTGAGTTTTGTATTTGTATTTGTGATGAAATTATATACATATTAGTATATTACATATGAATATATAGCAGGCTAGCAGCTACAGGTTTCGATACATTCTTAAGTTTCCTCTTAATTTCTCAAAGTTTAAAATTTGATTACAATTAGATTATGATTTACAGCTAAATAATGAAAAATAACTAAGGGAGATTATAGCTAAGTCTAAATCTAAATTTATTACGTACAAATCATGATTATTCATAAAATTTGAGTACATATAACTTATAAGGTCTGGCTGCTGATGAAAGTCGACATGCACAAAGCCAATTTCTGCTTGTTCATTTCCATATCAGGAAAAGAAGAATTTTGAGAGGCAATTGAGATATTAAAGTAACTTTCATTTCTTACAGTCTACGCAAAAGAAACGGGTCAAAATTAACAGTAATTGTTTTATTATCATCTTGTATGTGGCTGTAGCTGTATTAACCACCACAACAACCTATCATTTTGCTTAAACCAACTTAGGTTACATCAAATGATCAAGGAAAAGCTTTGACTTTTAATGTTCCAACATGTAAGTAATCTAATGATAAATGGTAGAATAAAAAAAGTATAATCAGCTGTGCGTCACTCAATTTTTATTTACTTGGAGCAGATTTTATATAGATTCGATTTATGCTAATACAATGACATAGATACATACTTGAGTATTAAATTTAAATTTTTTATAAGCTCGTTTGAAAATGCTTTTAAAATGCAACGTTTTTTGTGAAAATCTTTTTTTACACCAATCCTTAGTAAAAATCTAAGTAGATTATGAAAATGCACTTCAAGTGCTTCCTGCAATTCTAAAATGTACTTTAAGTGCAAGTACTTTTGGAACCCAATCAATTTTACTAAAAGTATTTTCAATTATTTTAAAAGTAGTTCCAAATGAGTCTTAGTAGTTGAAATAGTTTTTAATTGTAGCAATATCTTTGTAAATATCGTGTAGTTCACACCCCAAAAAAATCAGCAATTAATTAGCTTCTATTAATCAAAGTTTAGACCTTTAATATAGATCAATTAATTTAAAATGTGAAAGTAATGCTCACAAAGGGTGGTCATTTTCGGATTTGGATCCTCTCCCGAGCTAATGGAGAGCATCCTCCTCACCAATTATCCTGGGCCGTTAGATTTTTATCCAACGGCTACAATCATTATAACTTTGAAGGGACCTCCTGTTTGTAGCCGTTGGATAAAAATCCAACGGCCCAGGATAATTGATGAGGAGGATTCTCTCCATTAGCTCAGGAGAGGATCCAAGTCCGTCATTTTCGATTCTTATCCTCCTGTGGTCCCACCTGATATGGATAAATGAGTATTTTATCATGATCATCGGGTCAAGTGATCCGTATGTTTTAAATTTCATCCAACAGTTCATAATTATTACAATTTTTAAGAAATCAAAATAGATGACATTTTGAATGAAATTTGAAAGGTCCTGATCACTTGATCCAATGACATTGGTGAAGGAGATCTGGAGAGAGAATCTCTTCTCAAGATAAAGTTAAACTACCCGCCAAGCTCCCAGAAGGCGCGACACAATTCCTAGGAAATAACATACCAAATTAAACCAAATTAATTAAAAAACACATATAAATTGAAGAAATCTTGTTATTTATTTTCCTGGAAAATAAAATAATATTCATTATCCAAGAGCATGGTGTGTATATCAGCGTATGGGCATATTCTTTTCTTTTCTTTTTGTTTTTTTTAATTTTTGGATGAAAATAAAATTATGAAGAAATAAAAAAGATATTCAACAAAAAAAATAAAAATAAAGAAATAATATAATAATATAATAAACAGAAGAAACGTCACGAAAGACGAAACTCCCATTTTAGTCCAGCAGCGACACGTCACACCCAAAAATGCTCAAAACCTTAGCCACCATCTCCACCGCTTCACCACTCATCTCCACCGCCACCACGGCAACCGCCCCCAAATTCTCTCTCTGTAACCCCTTTCTTTCTCTTTCTAAGCTCCGACCCAAACCCGCCTCCAATGTCCCGCAAACCCACCGGACCATCTCCTTCCGGACCCCCCAAATGAACATCCTCAACAAGCTCGGCTTCGGCCCCAAGACCGCCGACCCCAACTCCGAATCCTCCGCCATCGCCCAGGGCCCCGACGATGACGTTCCGGCCCCGGGTCAGCAGTTCGCCCAGTTTGGAGCTGGGTGCTTCTGGGGTGTCGAGCTGGCGTTTCAGCGAGTGCCCGGCGTGACGAAGACGGAGGTTGGGTACAGCCAGGGGTTTCTGCACAACCCGAGTTACGAGGACGTGTGTACCGGCACCACCCAGCACTCGGAGGTCGTGAGAGTGCAGTACGACCCTAAAGAGTGCAGCTTTGAGAGCCTGCTCGATCTTTTCTGGTCCAGGCACGACCCAACCACGCTCAATCGCCAGGTGGGTTGCTCCAAATTTTGATAATTTCGTGTGGGTTGGACCAGTTTTTGTGAAATTTGATTGCTTTGGGTTGATAATCGTCTGTGTTTATTGATGAATTTTGGATAAACTTTGATTGATAAATTTTGGGTTTTCTTTTTCCGCAACTAATAAGATTGTGTATCAGTTTGAGATTGATTTGTTTTGCTACCTGATTTACTGAGGTTTTTGAAGAAATTGAGGTTTGGCTCTCTGTAAGTTACTTATCAATCGCATTCAAATCAGCACAACAAACAAAAGGAGATTTTGATTGACTATTCAACTTCTTGTATTGCTATAGTTAGTCCTACTTTGGTCATTTGTTTAACCGTTGTCAATTTGTTATCATAGTTGAGAAGCTATATCTTTTTAAGCAAGTGACTACTGAGAATTCAAATGTTTGAACGTCGCTGTCTAGATGTTCTGGTTATGAGTACTGCTTTACGTTTAGGCTTTCTTCTATTGTGAAATAGGAGTGAATGTTTTCATAAGAATGTCTACTCTCTGAATACTGTAGTGAAGAATATGATTGGAACTTTGTCTAAGAAGCTCTCTTGCAGTTACTTCAGTCGATGTCCCATTGTTGATTGTTAAAAGCTTTCACTTTAGGAATTTGGCTTCTTTCTTTTTGAATTCATGGTAAGTTAGTAGCATGAGTAAAAATCATGTTTATTAAAAAATCGATGGGCAAATACAATTTTTATGTTTATGTTATGTTCAGTTCGGTATGATTTCTGTTCGATTGCTGGAATTTTGCTTTGAGTTCATACAGTTACTTGAGGTCGTTTAGATTATTGAGAATAGATGGCATAGACTGGTGTTAAATTGGAAGCCTGTTAGAGGATGAAATTAGGAAGTAGGGTGCACAATTTCCATTTCAGGCAATCGATGAGGTTATCTTGACCTGTTGATAGAATTCTCCTGAACTATTATCTTTCAAGTTTTAACTGCTTACAAGAGTTCTGCTAATGGTATAGTCCTCTTCTGTTAAAGAAAGCATCGGGGAACACAAAGGAATAGTAAATAGGTTTATTTTGGATTTTATTAAGAACGTACATGACATTGTATGAGTGGATATCCAACGTGGTTAAGGGCTTAAGGCATAGTCCTGTTGGTCTCTAAGTTCAGTTTCCCCTATCAAAATATTGAAATAAATTACATATAGAGAGGGCAGCTTAGTGCCTTAGGCTCGTAGTGTAATACACCCAACGAAAAGATGCTCTTTTGCTATTAATTCTCTTAGCTACTTTCTTTGTAATGGTAAGTTACCAAAATACGTGGCCAGTTCCAGTACTTTGCATGAGGGTTCAAGTTACCAAAGAAGTGAATGATAAAATTAGCAGAACAAGTTCTTGAACAGGACTTTGATGAGATGCATATAGCAGCGTTGGTGAATGAGATCTCAGTTTCATTATTGAAGATCATTGTATAACCTAGGATTGACAGGACATTATTATTTGCAGGACTTGGCTTGTTTATGATTCCTTGTTTCACGTTATCAAACTCTATTAACCCAAAATTCGTCTTTGTCTTATTGCATGTCGATATCTTTTGTCGTCTCTCTTCTTCACATTCTTAAACGAATGTTATATTCATATATTTGTCCTAGTTATTCTCGTAAATAAAAATTCTACTATGTGATAATTTTTTTTTTTTTTTAACAAACGATATTATTTACACTAAGGGTGAAGGGGTGGGCTTAGCCTCACAATAGGCTAGCAATAATGTGGTTCAAATTCGCCTTTGGCGAGAATCGAACCTAAGACCTTTCACTTACAAGTGAAGAGAGTACCACTAGACCCTACTAAGTGGCTACTATGTGATATTTGATTATTCTTATTTGAGTGTGATCCAAAATATTATATTTGTCTTATGACCCGAGGAACCATAACAGTTTATCCATCTGTAATGGGCAGGGGGGTGATGTCGGGACACAATACAGATCCGGAATATACTTCTACACACCTGAGCAAGAGAAGGCAGCACGAGAATCTCTGGAACAACACCAGAAGAAAGTGAACCGAAAGATTGTCACAGAGATCCTTCCTGCCAAGAAGTTCTACAGAGCGGAGGAGTACCATCAGCAGTACCTTGCAAAAGGGGGACGTTTTGGTTTTGGTCAATCTGCTGAGAAAGGATGCAATGATCCAATCCGATGCTACGGCTAATCTATTTGGTAATGTCTCTAAAGGCAAACCGTACCCGTTATTGTTCATAGATAGATGCTTTTGTCCATATATTTGACGTGTAACCAGCTTCTGCGTACTTTGTCGAGTAAAGTATGGTATGAGTGAGCCTGGATCTATAAGTAATTTGTACTTTTGCGTGTGTTGCCTCATCTACTATTGGCTAAATTTGGAAGTGAAGAGCTGGTGTCTTCACTTTTGTGTTAAGGTTTCTGTCTGGCAATTGGTTTTGTTAATATATGTTATTGGCACTCTTACCTGTTCCAGGTAAGCTTCTTTTTCTTATTAGAAACCAATCCTATGCAATCTTTTCTCGGGAGTCGCACTAATTCAAGCTTGAGTTCCCAATACATGCAGCTTCTGCGCAAATGAGTAAAACTTGAATTTGACGGCTTTCATACCCCCGGTGCCTCTCTAGCACTCATCACGTGAGCCAGGTCTCAGTAGCACTCATCAAGTGACCTCACGTGATGAGTGTTGCAGAAACGCGGAGTATGCAAGTTCTTTTTGTTCGAAAAGCTCATTACCGATGTCCCCGCTTTGATAGATTATGCATGGAATATATGGGTAAGTCCTTACCCCTAGAATATAAAAGTTCCTTAGGGTAAACGGAGAGAGTTGGCAAGTAGTAACATGCATTACATACCTATATACTTTACAGGTGAGCATGAGCAAACCGAAATGCTGGAAGTCAGGGAGTGGGAGGCATATATAAGTTGGGTAAGTACGGTGTCGTATTATAAGCTACGTGACTTCCACTCCCTTGCCATAAACAGAGATACAGAAGCAAAGTTGTAAATCTAGAGAGAGAAATAGGTGTCAGTTCAGTAATTAAGTAATTAGATAGAACAGTAATTAATCAGATGTTAAATCTCAATTAATTGTGTGTTAAGTAGGTATTAGATCATGTGTGTTTTGTATTTGGATTAGGTGGCTGGCTCTGGATCACACATGAGAACACAACAAACACATGGGAGGTGAAGACTGAAGGGGACATATGCTTGCCTTGCGTCGCATGTATATCTACAGTTTGCCCATTTATGAGTCCCCAATGCGAAAGATTTACCTAGAACAAGTTCATCGTTTTATGGGCATTTTGGACTATTAGAAAAAAGTCATGCATAGACTCTCTTCACATGACATTTTAGTAGTGATTTGTAATGCCACGATGGTGGTGAAACTGTTACATGAAAATCTCTCTCTTTCCTAGTCAATCTAGTTCATGATTTTTCATTTAATAAATGATAGAACATTGCGTAAAGCTCATATACTTTTTTATTCTGCATGTGATCGTCAATACCAAAATCAAAAATCAAAAAATAAAATAGTTCCTTCCAATACCTATTCTAGATAAGTAAACATAGGACAGTCCCGAGATTTTGAGAGCCTTATGCGAGACTCAAATGAAGGCTCTTATAAGGTCGAAATTTTTTGTTGCTATTATATTTTTATATTTTTTTTATTGTGTATAAATTGATATAGCACAAAAGAAAATACATAAAATAAAGCATGGTGTGGTGGCTAGGTACAGAAATAAGAAGTACGAGAACACTTGCGCTATCGCTTAGAGCTTAATATAGTTAATTAGTGCACCTTTAAATACATATAATTTATATACAGATAAAATAAAACTTGTAAATCAAAGGCTCCTCTCGAACTAGGAGCTCTATGTGTAGCACCACCACTTGCATACCCTCAGAATCGGCTGTAAAGATGAGATAAAAATCAAAACTGAGAATCAAACATTTAGAATAATAAGGAAACGTGAGAGCACGGTCAATGCAGATAGGATAACACAGATGAGTGAGCTAGCAAGCAAGTGCCAGCAGTATGCTTAGGAGCACGAGAGCATATTTGACCAAAATATTTGCTGTAATATCACCTACACTTTCTTCTTTATTCAACAAACTAATAGTTCACATCACTAAATCATCAGATCATGCTCCATCGTGCATATAGTTGGACTGGGTCTACAGAGAAAGCAACAAGCTGATTAATTAGCTGCAATAATCAGTAGTTTGCCGGTTAATTATTACTTATTATTACCCCGATTTATTAACCCTAACCAACAAAACCAACATTTCAGTCATCCTGTAGCCGGTTTAATGATTGTGAACAATATTAGGACTATTTTTTCTTAAAGTTTTTTTTTTTGGTTGAATTTTTAAAGTTCAATATGTACAGATAACTTCAGACGACTGTCATTTTTTTAAAACTTATTCGGTACTATATTTCAGACGCGAATCATGCCATGACATATACTGCCATCAGAGAGGCCATAGAGACTTTTGTGTACAGCCAAGTGCCAATTCAAGAAACAAAGCTGCCAACCAAGGAAATAAATAGCTGTTTTAAAATTTTAATTCTTTTAGAAAAGGGAACCGTAATTCATACAAGAAACAAAGCTGTCAAGCAAGAAAAAACCAGCAGAGAGAGAGAGAGAGGCGATTCACGGTGTGATACTCCGATCTGATATGTTGCAAATAGCCAAAAGGCGAACAAGTTAGCTAGGATTTTACTTACTGCAAATCACACTTTTAATTATATGAGGGACAAGATTAATTTTGTAATATAATATATATATATATATATAGTGTATATGTATATATATTGTTTGATTGGCAAGGAAAGCTGGCAATGTGGGTGACGTGATGATTAAAAGTTCATACCAATTAACAACAGTGGAAAAGAAAGTCCTATTCTGAAATTATTGCAGCAGGAATTTCATAGGAAGTTGGTCTGTGTCTTCACCTTTACTTCTTGGATTTGGTTCAGAAATAAAGGGATTACTATATATAGTTTTACACTCACTTACGAAGAAATTTTTCAGTGTACCGAAAACACGACTTGATATTCTAAAAAATACTGCAAAATGATCATTAGGTACATTAATGATTTTGTGAGCTAACAATTTTCATTTTCTCTAAAACTTGATTTTGGAACAAACATGTTTCCTTTTTAAAATTTGTGTATTTTCTTTCTATTTAAAAATTGTTTAGTTTCATATTGTCCTTTTTCTCTAAGGATTCGGTTTTATTTTTCCTAATAGAATTGTTATTCCTTGAATCTTTCTCTAAACCAAAGTTAATTAGGAAAATGTAACCCTTCATACAAATAACACATAGCAAAATAAAAAATAAAATAATATCAGAAAGGAAAGCCTATATAAACGAAGCAGCCAACAGAAAAAAAAAAATGAAAAGAAAGGAAACCAACAGAAAAAAAAAAAAAAAAAAAAAAAACAGAGCAAATTAAACGCAACAATGGCTGAGCAGCTCGAGACGTCGACGACGAGCCCAGAATCCATGCCAAGAATAATAGCCTTCATGTCCTCCGTCCTCGAGCGGGTTTCCAACTCCAATGACCTGAACCGGCGGTTAGAGCCGACGCAGAAGCTGTCGGTCTTCCACTCCCTGACCACGCCCACCATTTCAATCCACAGCTACCTGCAGAGGATCTTCAAGTACGCCGACTGCAGCCCATCTTGCTTCGTCGTCGCCTACGTATATCTCGACCGTTTCACCCAGATGCAGCCATTGCTGCCCATTGATTCTTTCAGCGTTCACCGCTTGCTCATCACCAGCGTCTTGGTCTCTGCAAAGTTCATGGACGACATGTAAGCTTTCTTTTCTTTTTCCTTTTTTATTTCTTTTCGATTTCTTGATTTGGGTTCTTTTCTTTTGCTCTGATTCTTTCAAAGATTGTCTTTTTGGTGAGATTTTCAGATTTCTAATTCTGGGTTTTGTCTAGTTAATCAGATGGGTTAAATAAACTAGCTCAATTTAATCAAAAGTTTAATTTTTTCTGTGTGTGGGCAATACTAATTTGTTTACTTGTTGAACTGGGTTTTATTTACTTAACTAATGGGCTAGTTCATCTAGCTCAAATTAATCAAGTTTTTACTAATTTCTTTGCTTGTTGAACTGGGTTTTGTTATTTGTGTTTCAAGATTCAAGCTTTTTTAACCTGAAATTTGTTGAATTAATACTCTTATGATCTCTCTGTTTTTACATAATTTTTTTTCTTCTGGATATGGTTCTTTAGGAAATTGCATCTCAATATTTTAAGTAGAAAATTAAAGTGTATTTTGGTGGAAAATTGGGTAATTTTGCACGTTCAAAGTTTGTGATCACAGTTCTGTATTCTCTTCTTCTTCTTAATTCTGTCACATAATTACAAAATTAGGTTCATAATTAGTAATGGCATCGCCGTTTGGAAGCAACCACCGCCAAAAAGGAGGACAGCAATGGCCATGTGAATGCCTCCCGTCTTTTATGTGGTGTTGCTGTCCATGCCTGTAATTTTTCGGTTACGTCGTCGTTCTAGTATTACACGTGAATTAGTAAGATTATCCGACGGTGTGCATGTTTTCTCATCGCAAAACTCACGAGAAAAAGCGTCAGCTACGCATCATTATCGATGCTAACGACATCTCAATCAAAGGCCATGTTGATGTTGTTGATGTTTGTATAGTTTGCCAAAAGTTAACAAAATCCACCTGTTTTTGCTTCTCATCAGAGCCATGTATGATGCCTTAAGTTATAAGGTAGTCTTTGGTCCTATACAAACCCAGATAGTGGTCCAATATAACAGTAATAAGAGTAATGCTAGGGAGATTAAATTTAAAGATGAACACGTCTTTCAACGTTTAAGTAATAAACCAAATAATGTGTCACCAATAGAAATGAGCATATCTTTCAATGTTTAAGTAATAAACCAATCATCAACTTCTATATCATTTGGTTTCCAAAATTTAGTCTCCAGATTGAGTCTCCCTAGCTCTAATTAATCACTACAATTATTCAAAATATTTGGTTAGAACTTAGAAAATATAACTAATTAATCTTATCTACATTTGCTTCTTGCAGTTACTACAACAATGCATTTTATGCCAGAGTTGGAGGGATCAGCACGCAAGAGATGAACCTTCTTGAGGTGGACTTCTTGTTCGGATTAGGGTTCCAAATGAACGTGACGCCGGCAACGTATTACACCTACTGCACTTACCTTCAGAGAGAAATGCTGCTGCAATATCCTCTACAATTTGCAGATTCTCCTGTGGATTTGGCAAGACGTTTGAAGCTTCACTGCTCCTTTGATGAAGATGAATCCACCCATCAAAAGCAGCTTGCTGTTTAAGCACTTTTTAGCGTTGGAAAAGTTGGGGACAATGTATGTGGGTTTCTTCTGCATTCGGTGTAATCAACATATATAGGTTGTTTTGAGAAGTTTTGGGCCATATGGGCTCAAAGCCCCATTGGAGTTTTTGAGTGTATATAGTTGAATGGCCTATATGCTGTCAGCAGAAGCAACAAGTTAAAAGCTTTTCTTACTTAGAGCCCAATTCATGCTCTTCTAAATTTGTGTAAGGTGCCCAATTCATGCTTGTTTAGGATTCGTTTGATAATTCTTTCGTTTTTAATTTTTCTATTATTATTTGTGCTCTTGTTAACTTGTATGAGTACTAGAAGGGGAGATTTTTGTGACATAAGATGACATGATCTCTTTTAAGATGATTTGATTTCTCATAAAATTGCTCATTGTTCTTGATCCATAGAAGCTTAAAAAAAGAGGATCAAGCCATCTGCACATATGAGTGACAGGGGTCATCTTTAGATAACCTAACAGGCTTCAATCTCATACAAGTCATCTACGTTTTTTTCCCACCCACCACCCTGATCCTAACAAGCACTGTTATGTAAAAGAAGATTTAACACGAAGTATATGAAAAATAAATGAGTCAAACTTGAAACGTTCTTTTAATATTGAGAAGAGAAATATCAATATATTGAAACTAGATAGAACTGATGATTAGGGTTGTGATGCAAACGTTTTACAAACTCACGTTGTTATCTACTAAATTAAAACCATAAGCCAGAGAGAGATGGCAACACATCAAACGATAAACTACTACACGAAATAATAAATATACAAGCAATGCTAATATTATTTGTCAAAGTCGCGTAAAATTTATTAAAAGCTTATATGCATGTATCTCTGGCAAGTTACATAATATGCTTATCATATAGTACACACTTCAAACTGGCCTGGGGTTCATGAAACCCTAACTCTCAGCCAATTATCTCATCAGCCGTGGTTGTTTGTCCCTCCACCGCCACCAGCCCCACCACCACCGCCCGAACTTCCATAACCACCCCCAGACCCATAGCTGCCACCATGAGCTCCGCCACCCCCAGACCCATAGCCTCCGCCATGAGCTCCACCACCCCCGGACCCATAGCCTGACCCAGAGCCATGTCCTCCCCCAGAACCAAACCCATAACCGTACCCCCTACCAAATCCAGTTGGTGACCTCCCGGATCCCGACCCATAACCCGATCCCCCACTCGGGGTCGCACTCCACCCCCAATTATATCCCCAGTTCGGCCCGTGTGCCGAACCGCTACCGCTACTTGGGGTCTCCTCGTTCTTCCTTGACATTTCCCTAGAACAAGAAGCAGCAGCGATCAAAAGAAAAAGGAAGAGCGTGAAGTGAAAAAAGTTGAGCTGCATTTTAGGTTAGGTTGTGTGAGTTCTGGTGTATGTGAGATAGGTTTTTCTGCATGCAGGTAAGTGGGTATTTATAATGGAGTTTGATGTGATGTGCACAATGGCACGCACTTGCACTCCCGTGACATTATTTAACACTCGATTTCAAATAAGTCAGACAATTATGTGGCTCCAAGGTCGGCATATGGGATAATTTTACCCATCAAAAAAGCACTACAAGGACAGATTATAATTCCCACCACCGCATTTCCAATGAATAACCCTACAACTGATTCAAGGAGGCAGAAATAATTCGGTAGCTGTTGTTCAAGTTGATCATGCACTATCATGTTACAATGACAACATGTGTGATGATCATCATAGTGGAGTACCCTTTCGGTTTCTCGTGAAATAGAAAAATGTAAGAGTAGAGAAAATAAAACCATTTCGATACATAAAATTGACTTGTTGACACATTGTTTCATAAGTGTATCTGTATTATTGTATGTTATGCTCATATGTATTAGAGAATATATTAAGTTCGATGAGTATATCAGTTTTATGTTGGAAAATGGGGATACCTGGCTACGTAAGCATGCAAACCAACAACACCACTGATATTCATACCATATTTTTATACCGCATTTCTATACCACCTTAGGTGACATCTGATGTCGACAGCCACATCATTTGAAAAATTTGCAAAACCCAACAAAATGAAGGAGAAAGACTCCTCGTATACCACAATTATCATTTAATTAACTAGTTTTTCTTAATTATTAGTTTATTAAATAATCAAGTAAATTTAAAAATCTGATTAATTCAAATGATGTGGCTGTCCACATCAAATACTACCTAAGGTGGTATGAAAATGTAATACAAAAATATAGTATGAATAACATTACTCTTTAAAAAATATCGTCTAGCACCGCTTAGACCCTACCTAGGCGTTAAGCGGCTATCATTATCCGAATTAATCCCTATGTGTTTGAAAATTAAGAAAGAACTTATAGACATGTCTAGGTGTCTGCCTAGATCCACCTAGGCGCATGCCTAGCTCACCTAAGCCTCCATCTAAACCCCTAGGGACTAGCTAGATCCTTGCCCGCAATCTGACTAGCGTTTAACGCTTTTTAGAACCTTGATAACAATTATTGCAATTTGCTTTAAGTTGGGAGAAGCTAAAGGGACATTTGGCCTCTCTTCTTATTTATGGTGTAGTGGCTCCCATGCCACATCTAACTCTGTCTAACCTCCACCTTCTGAGGTTTGAGTCATTTGGGATGACGTTGAAGATTCAACTCGTCCGGATCCTTCTCAAAGAGAGTGTCTTAATCATGACACGTGTACGTCAGATCAATGGTTCTCGAGTTTCTAATGAGAATCAGAGGGTGCACTACACTGAAAATATCTTTAGCCTATACAGTAACGCGTACAATTATTGGACCACATTCAACTTTGTTTGGAGAATCTGGGAAAAAAGGATTGCAGCAAATGTTAAACTCAATGAGGAAATTAGATATATAATTGGAAGTATGAGATTTTCCTTGATGTTTCAGAATATCAAATACTTTAGGCTTTTTATTCATTCAATCTTTGGTCAAAATGAACACAAAATTTAAGATTTGATGGTTAAAAATTCAAAATATCTCATACTTTAGACTATCATAAATATATATATATAGACAGTTGGAAAAAATGTGTTACCCGATAGGTTGGATTTCTCTGGAATGTACTCGTATTAGGGTTTAGTTGGCTATACGGGTTACTGTGGGGACGTCCCCACTGTGCCACATTCGTCAAGGACCAAATGGGCCTAGTGATCCACATACCGCACCATAAGCACAGTTAATACTTTTCATTTCTTTGCACTACAGATACACCGTGACGTGATGTTACAGAACGCTTGTCTTGTATACATAAATATCTATTTCATAACTCTATTTCACTGAAATATTAAACATTAATTTCATCCACTTATGTTACATCATTGAATGTGAATTAGTAGCACAATATGGCAAGTTTCAACAAATAGATTAAGCGACTGTCAACTTTGGGCCACCGTAAAACGGACACATCCATAAGTGAAAGTATTGCCAGAATCCAGAATGGACTAGAGTTCGAGCAATTTTTGTCTCATATACAAATAATGATACAAATACATGATAAAAGTAGTATTTTTAATTCAGAACATAGCGGTGTTTGAGCAATTTTTATCTGATGCACATGCCCACTTCAAGAGAAGACACAATTGATAGCAGCCCAAAAGAAGAATCATTGAGAAGCTGATGGCCTCGAAGCCCAGTCCAAGAGAAGGACTTGGGTGAAACGGGTGTCGTCCCAGAGTCTCAATCCATTAAGAAATCGAGCAATTTTATGGGACAGGTAATACCAGAGAAAATAAATTTGTATACTTAGAAAAGTTAATGATTGATTTATTACGTGCTTATTTTATTAATGACAAATTATTTAATTTTCAAATTTAATCTCTCTAACATTTTTTTACGGGACAGATGCACGCATGTTACAATGCCACTAATAAGTGACGTCACACTGGTTGTTTAACTATGTAATAAATTTTCTTCCTTGCATTAATGCCTTCGGTGAACCATTAGCATGAAAGGAATTAGATCCTCTCCTGAGCCCAATGAGAGGATCCTCCTGGGCAAGGATCTTGAACCGATGAATTTTTATCCATCGGCTATAATTATTATAATAGAAAGTTCTTTTAAAATTATAATAATTATAACCGTTAGATGAAAATCCAACGGTCCAAAATCCTTGATCAGGAGAATCCTCTCCTTGAGCTCAAGAGAGGATCCAATTCCAACATGAAAGTCTCTACAAAAAAACAAGTAAAGTCGGTTGTATGAATTTTCAAACACAATTGAACCTGATTTTGCGTCAAATTTTTCGTTAATTCCAAGCACTACATCTTTTCTTAAAATCACTTTTCATATCTTCCGTCCCCATCCTATAATCGCAATTTCTAGTAAAAGCATGAAAGTCTCTCAATTTCCAAAAAAAAAAAAAAAAAATTTGAACAAATAATATTATCTACACTAAAAACAGAAGATGAATTTAGTTTCACAATAGACAAATAATAATATAATTCAAATTCGTATTTAGCAAAAATAAACTTAAAATTTATCACTTATAAATAAATAAATAAAATACCGTACTAAGTGGCCAGTTTCAAAAATTTTATTATTCCATCAATTTTTGCAGCAATCAACCTAACGGATAAATTTCACTGTCATAAGATGCGACCCTGACATCTAACGGCCCACAATACACAAAATTCAAACTCAAAACAATATCTAATTATTTGGAGATAGCCTTCTACATTAGTATGGTAAAAATAGGAAATAAATGTCAAATATTTTGTATTATGTTTTAAAATTGATTAAACTTGTCATATGAGTTTAAATAGTAAACAAACAAACAAACAAACGAATGAATTTAAAATTAGAAGTTAACGAAAAACTCACGATACTATTTATGTTTATTTTAACGAAAAATCACATTTTTATACTAAAAAATCAATCCTGATACTATTCCCTTTACCGTTTATTTTGCTCGTTACAACTCAAAATTTCCAATCATTTGTCATTAGTTTTCTTTTAAAATTTTCTTCAAGATTTAAATAACAAATCATCATCAGAATGGAAAGCTGTTCTCATCCACAGCAAGATCATTGCCGTGTAGGAAGGTGTCCTAAGATTATTCCATTTTTCATCACCTGATGAATTTTTATTTATAAACCATCAAAACAATCACAAATATAATATAAACCAATCTAAATTAATAATTCAGATTCAGAAGTATATCAGTTAGCATCACTCGATAACACATATCTCAGATCAAGTGTTGGATAATTTGATTGCTTCATCCCAATCCATCATTCCCACAACTAAATTCACAATTATTATAAATAAATAAAAAGATCAAAACTTTGATAAAAAAAAAAAGAAAAAATAATAATTAAGGTGGGAAAAAGGGGAGAAATACTCAGTGGTGGCTGATAATTATTAGGTTCGATTCTGCCGGCAAGTTTCCTCAACCTTAATCAGAAGAGGGAGCTTGGTATCCTCATAGCAGTCCCCCTTTCCTTCACTTTCCCACCAAAATTAAATTAATTTAAATTAAAAAACAATCGAAAACAAATAAAATACAAATAAAAAACGACCAAATCATAAAATTTTCCAGGAAATAAAATAGAGAAAAAAAAAAAAGAAATGAGAAAGAGAAGGCTCAGTTCAGCGGGGTTGTCGACACGCAAACCTTCTCTTGAAAAGAGAAGGCCTACAATCCGGTCTGTTGAGCTTGAATTTCATTGGGTCATCACCGCCAATCTCTTTCTCTATCTCATAAACTTTAGCTAACATAAATTGGATTTCTACTAAAATAATGGCGCTGGAGGCGTTGCTGGGTTGACTGGAAAGCGGGCGTTCGCCATCGTTTTATAGGGAAAGAGAGAGCTAGGGTTTTGAGGGAAACACGGGGATTTCAACGGGCCTATATTATCAGCCGAATCCAACAGTTATCGTTTTGAAAAACAAATGGGCTTTAATGGGCCACCATTTCTTTCCCGGACTTTTATGTTTCGTTAGTATGTTTTTCCAACTTTTTGATCATGTAAAAAAATTTAATAGATTTTTTTTCCAAATAATGTCAAAAATACGTAATGTGCTGAATATAATGTTTGCATCCCTTTTAAGAACTTTTAAACCTCTTGGATTGGCACAGTTTTATAGTGTGAATCTCAACTTTTTTTCGGCTTGGCTCCTTGCACTTGATTACTAAAAGGTCGAGTCTGATTTACAATCACTCAAACTATTTGGTTGGAAATACAAGCCCAACAAGAAAAAGTAAATACAACACAAAGCTCAAAAGGCATGGCTGAAAAACAACATAAACGCTAAAATTAAAGAGGAAACCAGCAACCACCACCAAATCTGACGCGCCTCCATCGGAAGGCCACCACCACCAAAAAAGGAACCACAAAGAGCAACTGGATCAACAACACTCACTGCACTGGTGGCTCGCTCACCCCTATTTTTCGTTGAGCCAGTTGCTCTCTGTGGTTTGTTTTTTGGTGGTGGTGACCTTCCGATGGAGGTGCGTCAAATTTGGTGGTGGCTGCTGATTTCCTCCTTAATTTTAGGGTTTCTGTTGTTTTTCAGCTATGCCTTTTGGGCTTTGTGTTGTATTTATTTTTTTTTGCTAGGCTTGTATTTCAGTTGTGTGATGCCTTTTGGGCTTTAGTTTCCTTATACTAGTCTCTTTGTTTAATGAAAAAGTAACTTAGTTTGTCCAAAAAAAAAATATATATATATATATATATATATGGTTGGTATTCATACTTTACCCCTTTTTTATACTTTCTATTTCTTTGCCGAAAATAACATGTAACTTTGTTAAATAAACACATAAACTCATGCATTCAAAGTTCCACGTTCGATTCATTCCTCTCAATATTCCTATTTCATTGCACTACCAAATTCACAAAGTAACTTTGTTACCAGTAAATGCTAAGCAACTATAGTTTCTAAGGATAATGTTAAAGAAACTAAATTTGTAAACTAAATGATGTGTTACCAATATGAATGAGTACGAGTATCAATGCTTAAGTCATACTTTAATCATCAACTTCTATATCATTTAATTTACAAAATTTTGTTTAAAATTTTAATTTTCCTAACATTATCCTAGTTTCTAAAAGACAAAGCAAGTGATCGAGAGACAACACTGTTACAACTTAAAAGTGCTCTGAATCTACTGAGGTTTTCTCCTCACTGTTTAGCTTGCAAGAGCAAAAGAAAACATAGGATTTTGTTTACTTTTTATCAGAAACAAGAAAACATACGATTTAAATATTAATAAGAATACAAATTCATCGTATCAATCACATTTGTCTTACAGTCCTTATAATTCCAACTTGTACAGTTTTTTCTCATAAATTTAGAGCATAATTATGAATAAACTAAAGTAAACAACCCTGCCTTATAATAACTATAATTAATTAATATAAACCAAGCTAATTAATCCTGGTCTTGAAACATTAGATCTTGGTGGATGACATGAACGACCTAGGCACAATGATGGCCTTGAGAGGGTTCTTCATGACAACTGTAAAAGCAAATGTCTCAGTCGGGTCCGGCGGCGCATCTGGAACCGGCAACCATTTAAAAGCATGCACCATCCGAGCAAGCAGCAAGTTGATATGCAAAGTCCCTAACGTCCACGCGGGGCAGATCCGCCTGCCAGCGCCAAACGGCACCATCTTCACCCCTTTGGTCCCGGTCACATCCACGTCAACCCCGTCTCCTCCCTCTAAGAACCTCTCCGGTCGGAACTCACCCGGGTCCTCCCACATATCGGGATCTTCAGTCACCCATGCAGTGTAAAACTCCACGCTCGCATCTGCGGGCACAGTGTATCCGCCGAGCTCCGTGTTCTCCAAGGCTGCGTGTGACAGGACGAAGTGGCTCGGGGGGTGCCGCCGGAATGTTTCTTTCACCACCGCGGAAAGGTAGCTCATTTTTTCCACGTCACTCTCAGTGATCACCTCTTCGTGCGGCTTTTGTTCATTTGTGTAGGGACTGCGATCTGTCCCTACACAATCAACGATTTCCTTGTAGAGCTTCTCTTGAATTTTTTGGTCCGTCACCAAATGAAGCAAAGCCCACTCTATTGCCGTAGCACTCGTATCCGTACCAGCATTGATGACTTCGGAGACTAGCGTCACGAGCTCCTCCTCTTCCAACCGCCTGCGTCCGCGGTCTTTCCCTCTTACAGGCACCTCCAGCTCAAACAAGGAGTCAATGTAAGCAGCACCCTTTGGACTCACCATTATCTTATTAACTTTTTCATCCTCAACATTATCACTTTGAAGAACAAATGCTTTTCTGTCTCTAACGAGTGGAACCAAACACTCCAACTGCCTCCTCCTCAGCTCCTTCGCTTCCCTGACCTGCCGGCGAAACAAAGGAGTCAGCACCGGCAGGAAATCGGGGAGCTTTGGAGTTGTCATCATCATAACGTCTTTCAACACGCTCTCGATCGTCTTTATCTTCTCATCGGAGATCTTCGCCCCAAAGCACAAGCATATGAGGATACTACAGATGGTGAGCCGGCACTCGCTCATCACATGGACGATGCCATCGTCGGATTTTATCAGCCTGTCCATGTGGGATTTGATAGCCCAGTTTCTGATCCAGCTACACTGCCTTATCCTCGCCGGGTTGATCAGCTCGGTGACGAAGTTTCTCCGCAAGGTACGCCAGAAAGGACCGTACTCTGCAGAGTTGATGGCACACTTTCCGACGCTGAACAGGAGGCGGATGGGGGAGTCAGCAGGGCGGGACGCGAACTCGGGACCTCTCTGGACGAGGGCCTCGTGGATGAGGTCGGAGCTGGTGACGATTATGAGAGTCCGCTGCCCCATCTGCATGGTGAAGATTGGTCCGTACTTTGCACGCAAGTCGCGGACGACGTAGATGAAGTGCCGACGTTGGAGGATGACTTGGATTAGGTTTCCCACTATCGGCCATCCTGGCGGTCCAGGCGGCAGGTTCTTAGGCCCGCCACCAACAACTGACCTGCAGTAGCGCCACCATAGCAGGAAAAAGATAAGCCCCAAAGACACCAGAACGACGTCCATCATCACCTCCTCCATGGATAATATTATAACCTTAGCTTAGCTTACCAACTTCTCTCTCTGTAACCAATACAAATTTAAAAGCAAAAAGAGAGAGAAATGATTAAGGTGATGAAGTTGCTGGCTGAGTACTATATATAGAGAGATGCGTGGACTTGAAAGCTATGGATATGATCTATCTTGTTAACCCTAATATATGGGTAATTTAACTTTACATTATAAAAGCATTAATGTTAGAATATTTATTTATTCACCTACTCATCTTTTGCAACCTGCTTGCTCTTCAACTGGTCAAAACAGAGTCACGTTTTCTTCTGCAAATGGCTTGTTTTACTGACAGAGCAACAGAGTCACGTTTTCTTCTGCAAATGGCTTGTTTTACTGACAGAGCAATGAATTTGATTAGCTGTGGGCTGGTGAAACAGCCATAACTTGGTAATGTGCTAATTTAACTTTTGTTCGGCAGTGACTTTTTAATGCATCAGAAATAGGATGGTATATCATATATTATTATATAATTAATGAGATATTTGTATTAAAAATTTAATAATTTAAAAAAATGAAAATTTCTATCGATTATAAAATAACATGTGGTATATCATCTATATTCCGGACATAATAAAAATTTTCTCTTAGTTCAAAGTCCAGTCAACTTCTTGCGTGGATAACCTGTTAATTCCATAAAACACTATGTAATTGGTTATGTTTGAGTGAGGGATTACAAGTCACAAGTAAGGAATTTGTAAATTTCTCTCATATCCCTTTGTAATGCTCATGAAAGATATTTTTAATTTCTCTTATCTAATTTAGTTAATTTATTCCTTAATAATTTGAGCTCAATTCTTTGGGACTTGAAAATCTTTCATCAAAACATATATAGCCTAGGCAGGGGTGGACCAACTTAGCGGCAAGGGGGTTAGCTGACCTTTTGAACTCCAGTGAGTCTCTATGAATGACTTGGGTGCTATCCCTTTGAAGGTTGGAGTTGCTCTTCATATATGCCTTCTAACTACTTGATAAAATCCGTTAGATAGGTAACTGCAATGCATAGGATAGACTGCCTATTTATAGTCTAGTCCTAATATTATTTATCCTCTGACTTGTTTGTTGGTTGTGATGACAATTGTAGGAAATAAAAAATTAACGAAGTAAAAGACTATCCAAAAATGCAAAGTAAATGAAATGGTAATCTCAAAGAATGAACAAAGCTTCATCATTCTTGGACAAACATATTTATGGGATGCAATGATATCAATCAATTTGTTAGTGTGTTTAAGATAAGTGTGCTCCTCTGTTAAACATTCATATGGGTGTAGCCTTGTAATATATTAGTTACCCACGCAAATGAGGCCTTAAAATGCATTAAAATATAGACTAGTTTGAATCGTTAAAATACATTACAAAGTGAATCTTATAAAATGTGTGCGAAGATGTGATAAAAGTGTGTCACCATATCTTTAATCCTGTATATATTTATATATTTTCATCAACTACCGCTGCACTAGTCCTAGTACTTTAAAATTCTTGCTATTAGTTTGTGTAAATGTTGAGTTAGTAAGAAGTGTAACAACTGCGATCATGCCTGCTCTGAAAAAAATTAATGGTCTTAACGCCCTACATCTGACATAATAATTCAAATTCAAATGTGCATAAGAGAGCTAACCAACCGGAGATTCAAAAATGGGCACCTCAACTCCATTGTTGTCTTAAAATCATTGTGAACTCTATACATTTGTGGTTATGTTCTTTGCAGATTCCGCTCTCTACTGCCAATGTGCCTATTTTTTAAGAATGGAGAATTCCTATGTTGTTGTTCTCCCTTTGTTACTGGTTGTTGTTAGGTTGCTGCTGTTGTTTACAGCATTATGTGTTTTTTGGTTTTTAACTTGGCCTTTACTGCCTTCTTGTTGTTTGTTGCTTCTTTTGGTTTTCTTTTAAAATAATCATTCATTTATTAAAAAAAAAAAAAGTACAATCATGTATAAGAGAATTGTGGTTTGAACCAGGAGAAGCATCAAATCTGTGAATGATAGAGACGAAACGATGGGATATTCAAGTTGGTAACGAGGATGGTGATTGCATGTTTTTAAAACACATTACAATTCTTTGAGGCAATTTCAAGTTATATTCAGTATACGACAATAACAAAGCATTACTTCATTAAGTAGGGTTGTTTTTGTGAATTTTAGAACGCCATCGTGTTAGATTTTATTTTTTAAGTTATTAACTTTTTAGCACACATATCTCACCATTTGTATAATGACACATGATGGACCATCTTGTGTACTGGTCACATTGAAAAATTTCTCATTTGTTAGCTCCAAATATTCCATATCTATTTTTAAAATCTCTTTCAAAGTACTCATAGGTTTCCCTCTACCACTTTTGCCTGATTCTCTGTCTCATAATCGCATATTCTAACGAAGCATCTATAGTATTCGGTTCACGTGCCCAAATTAGCTTAACCAATTTTTTCTCATCTTATCATCAACTGCGCTACTCCTACATTATCTTGGATATTCTAGTTCTTTTCATATCTTTTCTCGTGAGCCCACACATCTAACAAAGCATTCTCATATCTACTACAATTTATTTTTTTGCATGTATTGATGCTTGACCCAACATTGTGTGCCACAAGTATTGTTGGCCTTATTACCATCCTACAAAAATTTTCTTTGAATTTTAATGGTTTCCGTAGGTCAATACATCCAATGCACTCTTTCACTTCATCTATCCAACTTTTATTATATAACTGAGATCTCTATCCATTCGCGGTAAAAAATCTTGTAAAAAATTCTTTTCTATATGTTCGTAGTTCACCCATTGTTTGTTTGTCCAATGGGTGGTTCTTATTTTTACTTTCTATACACTCCTTATTAATTTTTGTTCTTTAATATTTTTTAATTCATTTAATCAAATGAACAAAAATTAAAATGGGTATATGAAAAGTAAAAAAAAAAAAAAGTATGAATAACATCACCATTATCCAATATGTGCGCAACATAAAGAGTTTTTAAACAATTTTATTTTCTCAACTTTAACAATCCATCAGGTGTAGCTCATTGCAGCTCTTCTTAACCATTTATTTATTTATTTTTATGAAAATAATTGGATTTTGTATATTTTAATACAAGTGTATCACATTTAACCCAAAATTAAAATAACAAAAAAATAAAAGGTTGTTCTTCTTCCCAGGGAGAGGAAGGCCGGCCTCAGATACATTTGAGTTTTATCACTATCTCAACAACATGAGATAATCAAGCAATGTAGGCAAAATATGTATAAATCATCACCGGCCTCATCTAACAATTTATTTTTTTTCAAAAAAAAAAACCCCCATAGACTTTGATTTTTTTTGATAAAATACAAGCTGATTATCTGAAATATGCATAGCAGGGATAAATGAAATTGCTCAAATTATTAAGTAAATAAATAAAAAAAACAGAGGCGATGTTGTAAAAATATGGACAAGGAAAGATTTCGGGAATGGAGAAGCAACTGGATTCCCTAACGTCTCTGTGAGAGGATTAGTGTGTGAAAGTGAAGAGAAAGGAGCATTTGGTGGCTCCTCCGGCGGATGTGATGGTATTTATAGGGGGAGCTTTTGCTAGGTTTTGTTAAACAAAAGGGAGCGTAGCCGCAATTTTGGGGTCGTCACTTGCCGCCGTTGGATAAAATATGATGGATTTGATTATCAAATGTGAGGCTTGTGACATGTATAACTGAGTATGAACGGCAGAACCCGACCCGACATGCTGAATCCGAAGACATGAGCGATGTACTCAAGAACTTGGTTTTCACTAGTTCTTTCTATCTGTCTCGTTGTGTGACTAATTGTGTCGTGATACAAAATAAAAAATGTAATGTACATTCATTAAGTAGGTAAGATGAACTTAATAGGTACTCAAACCTAAGACTATAGAATTGCAACCCATGCCCATGACTCGAATCCAAGAGTCGAACCCTAGACCAAAAAAAGTGTAATCGCCTGGGGAGTTTGACCTAGAGCTAGATGATTCTTTGTAAAATGCGATGAGGCACATCAATTGTCCAGACATCTAGTAAAACATTGTTTATGTGCGCGCTATGATAGCTAGACGGATTAATACAAAGAGAAATAATTGTCGATAGTTGATTGTTAGAGTCATCTCTAAATTAAAACATAAATTTCAAATTAAGTTCAGAATTAATAAATTCTCTCAGCAGATGTGGCAATTGTTTGAACATCATAAATTATTAACTGGAGACTCGAAACTTAAAACACAAAACATGGTACCTTACCCAAAGTTCAATTTCAAATCCAGTCACCAAACACCACCAAGTTATTGCCTTGGTGAGAAGTTTTAGATTCGATTCTCTTCAAAGACATATTTGAACTATATTATTGCTAGAATATAGTGATACTTAGTCAACCCCTCCTCATATAGATAATTTCGTTAGTTCAAAAAAAAAAAACAATGGCATCTCATTGGTTTTTTGAAGGAAAGTTCAACGAAAAGCTATCGCTACTTTTCACTTTAACGAAAAACCACATTTTAATACTAAAAAGTCAATTCTGATAATATTCACTTTACTTTTTATTTTATCCTTATCATTAAAACTCAAAATTTTCATATTATTTTCATTAGTTTTCTTTTTTTTTAAATGCCTTTCGTCGATGTTTCAAATGTTGATGAGACTTTTTTGGCGTTTGTAACCGATTTATATTAATTCCATGTCGAATCCAAGGTCTCAGAAGTCAGAAAAAGACTAGGATGAAGACAACATTTATGGAATTGCATTTTAGACCAAACAATATTCCATGGTCATGAAATATTGGACTAATTTAATTATAAATATGTCAACAACAAGAAAAGAATAAAAAAGAAAATTACAAATATCTCTTTTTTCTATTTATCCACATTTAATGGATATGAGAATAAAACCATGGATCCATGGTGATAGTCATTTTCATTTTGTTACACGATACACCCAACACCAGAGAAAAATAGAGACACTATTAGATAACGAAAATGATTGATTTCTCATGTTTTGTCACTTCCTTTCTTGTTTAGAATAAGAGAGGCTAGAAGAATTTTCTTAAAATGAGATTATCTACAGACGTTCTGATATAGTTTAATGCTAATTTATGTACCAATACTATAAAATAGTGTGCTAAAAACATGAGAGAGCAAATGGTATGTAAAGAGTTCCACTTTTTGCTCGGTTGGGATATCTCTTGGAATTTAAATGCAAAGAATTTGTATAATTTTGGACGCATAATAAGAAATGAAAATTGAGTCACTCATTAAAATTGAGTCACTCGTTAAAATTGAGTCACACCATACATGAATGACCACGTATCATTTCGATTCATGATTTTTTAATTTAAGTAGAACGTACAATTGTTTGCACGAGACAAGTAACACTCTCAAATCAAGTATTTAAAAAACATTAAACTGTAGTTAGGGAGTGAGTTGGGATCTAGTACCTAGACAACTAGCCGGGTTCTTAGGCAGACTAGACTAATTTAATTAAATATATTATATATCGTACAAATAAGTGCTTATTTATATTTAAAAATACAAAATTGATTGGGGATACATAAAATTACAAAATAAAATGAATATTTTGAAAATATGGGGAACAAGCATATAATGAGTGTTTATCCAAATTCAACAAATCTCTTACAATTTATTAAACAAAAATGAAATCCAAACAAAATGAGCGTTGTCGATTTTTCTATATAAATGAGAATCGTGAGTTTAGACGACCTAGGTGGATGTCTAGGTGACCTAAGCAAATGTCTAGGCATGTCTAGGCAGACGCTTAACTAAGTCTAAGCATCGTTTTTAAATTTTCAAACACCTAAGAAATAATTCGAGTAATGACCAACCACCTAGCACTTCAACGAAATCTAAACGGCACAAGATGAAGATTTTTTGAACAATATCTCAAATAACGTTATTAGTGGGATTATCGGATTGATCAATAACATATAATGTTTTGACATGCACCGAAGCGTCCTACACGCATGAACACTAACTCGAATCTAACGACACCAGATCCACTAAAAATTATGTTTTCTAAAAAAAATAGTAATAAATTAAAAAGGCAGAGAGAAACAAGAATCACCCACTTCCCTCCATTATTTATTCTTTTGCCGATCGCGCCATCTCTCTCCCCTAGTGTTAGGTAATTGACAAGTGTTCCGCACATTAACAGTGTTTCAAGATTTGCTTTCGTGATCGTCTCCATTTGTATGATCGCAATTTTTCAGATAAACAGAGAGCTCTGCTATCTGGTGTTTTACAGAGACAGAGAGAGATGCTCTGTTCCGGCCGACTTTTGGCCGTTTCCTTCCCGCTAAATCGGTACTGCGCGTACAAATTGCATAGCTCTAGCTGCTCCGGATTCAGCTACGCAAGAAGCCCCAAATCAACAAGCAGCTCCAAATGGAGATCCATGGCGATGGCGTCCGACCCCGACTCCTCCTCTTTCGGTCCTTCTGTCGACTCTGATCCTAATCCCGCCGCCGATACAAACCCTGCCGGGTACTCTCTCCCTCACTCTCACTCTTGCTCTCTAGGAAATTAACAGAAAGTGGAAATTCAAAGTTCCAAGATTTGGTTTGTTACTTTGCACTTTGAAATTTATCTGATTACAGACAGTTTACTGGTCTACAAAAGTTTGTAACTTTCTGTGAAAAACCCATGTGATTGATTTGCTGTTGATCTTAATTAACCCCAACCATGATACCGATTGCTTTGCAGCCTGTAATTTTTATTTTTTTTAGTTTTTGGTCAAAAGCTTGTTACTTATTCGATCTTATTTTACATGCTTAATTATGCAGATTTTGTATTATAGAGGGGCCTGAAATGGTGCAGGACTTTGCCAAAATGGAGTTGCAGGAGATCAAAGATAATATTCGAAGCCGACGAAACAAGATTTTCTTGCATATGGAAGAGGTGAGCCCACTTTCTTCGTCTTAGCATGTGTTGCATATGATTGCCATTTCAGACAGACTCGTTATAATTTTTCTTGCCAGAAATGTGCTTTGTCAAATTGTGAGTATGTTGGTTGCCTTATAAGCTTCAATCTTTGTAGGTTCGCAGGCTGCGGATACAACAAAGGATTAAAAGCGCAGAGCTTGGAACGTTAGATCAAGAAAACGAACTTCCTAGTTTTCCGTCTTTCATTCCATTTTTGCCTCCCCTGGTAAGCTGCTTGCTCCTATGAAGACATGTATGTTCATGGTTAATAAAGGTTTCACCGTTTCAGTAACCTTGGCTATTTCATTTCCCCGACATTTTTATATAGCCTTTTGTTGATTCATATGAAAATTGTGAATGTATTGCTTGCAGAGTTCAGACAACCTTAAGCAGTATTATGCTGTCTGTTATTCAATTATTGCGGGGTTTATACTTTTCGGTGGCCTCATATCACCCTCTGTAAGTTCTTTATGCTTTAACTTTGTAATTAGTTTTAACAGTTATTCATAAACATTACGTTTTGTCTCGAAGAGTATGCTGGCCAACGTTTTCTGATTTTCTTTTACTGGTTTGAGAATATGTTTCTGAATTTGCAAGTCGAAAAATAAGGAAACATATCAAATAAGTATAGTTTGGATTCAGTTATGTTTCTAACTCTTTGCCTACAAATATCTTTACATCTTCCAGCTGGAGTTGAAGCTGGGGATAGGAGGCACATCATACAAAGATTTTATAGTAAATATGCATCTGCCGTTGCAGTTGAGGTATGGCTTGTGTTTCGGGCTTTTAACCCTCCTGTTCTCTAGTAATTATTGTTTTGAAATTTTGTATAATCTATCTTGATATGAATCTTTTAATTCAATAGTTCCTATGTAGGAACCAAAAGTAGTAAATTTTACTTTTGGGAACCGATATAGTCAAATTTTATGACAATCCTCAAGTTTTACACATTGGAAAAATGTAGGACGTCATCTATCTTGACATGAAGCAGCTAAATGATGTTGATACTATGCTATTACCAGTTTCGCTTATTGACCTGCTATGCTTTCAAACTGCAGCCAAGTTGATCCCATTGTGGCGTCGTTCTCAGGAGGAGCAGTCGGAGTGATCTCAGCATTGATGGTAGTTGAAATAAACAATGTGAAACAGCAGGAGCAAAAAAGATGCAAATATTGTGTTGGAACTGGTATGATATTGTCCTATATTTCTCACTTTTAGTTATATGTTTTGCAATACCTTTAAATATATAAGATGGAGATGTTTGTATTGGCTTCGTATGTCAACTACTTGGGTTGGACCAAATGAATCTACTAAATCTAGGGTTGCATCTTGAGCCAGAATATGTCCATTACGGTTAATTGCTTTGAATTCGCTACCTGTTATTGTCTGGTCTACCTTCTCTATATTCTTGATCAGTGTATTCGATACTTATGCAGGATATCTTGCTTGTGCTCGCTGCTCAAGCACTGGAACCCTTGTTCTTACTGAACCAGTATCAACAGTTGATGGCAGAAGTCAGCCCCTCTCACTGCCTAAAACCGAAAGATGTTCGAACTGCTCAGGAGCGGGAAAGGTTAGACATATAAAAATGTCATTGAATGTTTATTGCATACTAAATTTCTCTTCTTGCCTGCCACTTAGTTGTACTTGGCTCATTGTATAACTTGGAATTGCTGACTCGCATGTTTGGTGAATGATACTTGTGTTTGTTGGGCATGCGAAAAACATTTTGGAAGAAAAAAAGCGCACTGGAAATGAAGTTTAGGATAATTTGGTAGCAAATTTTTGAGGGGTGATTTCTAAATGTCAACTATTTCTTACATTGTGTCTGTAATTTGGCAGGTAATGTGTCCTACATGCCTTTGCACTGGAATGGCGATGGCAAGTGAACACGACCCTCGGATTGATCCCTTCGATTAGAAGTGCAAAGCCATAATTTGTTGTTGCCCTACCACTTAGAAACTTTTTATTTTTCTCCTCTCTTTTGATGCAATGCAATACATACATCGTCTTCTGAGTCGTTATGTAACCAAGAACTTGTATATACATCAATTGTTCAGGAAAAAGGCTAGACATCTTAATAAATTGAAAGGTTTCTTCCCTTGTGCAACATCTTCCCCTTTTTCCTTTTGTTGCTCGAAGAGAGTGAAAATGCCAATTTCGCCAGGATTTGTGGTGGTGAAATCAAGCCTACCTAAACACCAAATACTTGCGCTACACAGACGATGAAGATTTGGATGGCCCGCCAGCTCCAGGGGTTTCTCAAATTCACTGGAGCGGAGGCCGGGAGCCATTCCGCAAAGTTCGAAGTGGTGATGGCCAATAGTGCGTATGTTCCAAGACCTGCATTGTCTGTCCTCACCTGGCCTGGGATGTGTTCATGGTCATGGATTGGGTGTGGCGTCCAAGGGCCATAACGTTAGCTACATACTACCTCAGCACCCCGCCTGATCGACCAACACCCGCGCCTGCTATTTGAATCCATTGACCTTGAAGATCCAACGGTGGGGAAGGGGAACCAAGTCTCACCAACGCCGACGGCAGCCTCCGCATAAAGTTCATCTCCACAGGTTAATTTTGACGGCACACCAAGAATAACTGGATTTTTAGCTGACCCGGATGACTCCACAATCAACGACTCCAACACGTTGTTCTGGCCTGTAAGGCTTGGTGGTGGCTCCATTGCTCTCCGCAACATGCAGGAGATTTATCGCCACCGACAAAATTACAAGCGATCTCAATGCCAACGCCTCCACTATCGACAGAGAGGCATACCTGGTGGTGGAAGAGAATTTTTCTTTCAGGGAGGATCAGTAATGTCACTCTTCGCCTCAAGGACGCGAGAATCTACAACCAATACATCGTCGAATGGCCATTGGGGGGAGGTCGTTAACCATACCAGCAAAGAATCTCAGCAGGTAGAGGTGAAGCTAAAATCGTATACAAAAACGAGTAGTACTTGGAAGTACAACGTTTCATACATATTCACCACTCTGCAATATTTTCACACATATTTCACTCTATAGTTAACAACTTAACAATTACATTATTCTTCAGAAAATTTGCATATTTTGTGTATTTTATTCCCAACCCTACATTCGATGCCGTTGAATTTACTGGTAAAAATACTTTTCTGTAATGATTTTCCAACTGCAGATCTTCTTCTTTCTCCTTCAAACACTTTCTTCAGGGGATTGCTTAGGTCACCCAATGCCCAAGCTACCGATATATGAGGGCGCGGAACCTGCAATGAACGACACCCCATGAAGTGAATTAGTTTTTCTGAGTAATATTAATGCACATTCATTTGCTCCAATTATTGCTTGAGATCGGTAAAGCACAAAAATGCTAACCTTGTAAAATTCAGGAAGATTGTGAAGCTTATACACCTCATTGACAGCTTGAATCTGCTTTGTTATCTGAAATCAATAGAAATTGAGAACCTCTCAGACTTATAGCACTGCGACGGCAGTGATTTGACAATGAAACCTAACTCAAGCATGTATTAATACGAAAAACAAGTATGCTTCGAGAAATCATGTTATTGAAGGAAGTTGGGGTTCCACTAAACCAAATGGCAATATAGGGAGTCGTCTAACTCCTTATAAGCCCTTGTTAGGTTTCTTCTTTCACAGATGTGAGACTCTTTTACCTTCACATCCTCACATACCCCCTAACATGGTGAATTTTTTTCAAGCCAAACACGTGGACAATACAAATTGGGTGACGTAAAGCACGTGTGACCGTTGGTCTTTACATGTGGGCCAACCTGCTCTGATACCCTGAAGAAAGTTGGGGTTCCAAGTCTTCCACCGTAAAACCAATTGGCAATATGCAGAGTAGCCCAACTCGTTACAAGCCTTTACTAGTTCTCTTCTTTTACTCCTCCAGCATATCAGGTGAATCAGATCCCTCAATATTTTGTTACCTTTTGTTGCTCGTCCCAACAGACCTTCCACTAAACTAAATTTGACTAGAAGCTATAGCTAACTATGGTTTTAGTTTTCTTATGTTACATTGCATATAGTGAAGGCTTACTCCCACAAAATAATTTGACGCATAATTTATGCCGGACCAACCAGCATGAGAACCATGAATATATCAGACATTCTTGTCCATTTTCACTTTTCGTGTTACAAGTCTATCTAGCACTGAACAATCCGTAAGCTAATAAGCAGATATCGAAGTTTCAAAACCCATGAAATTAGACAGTTACTAAATCATACCTCAGCTAACCCAGCAGCAATGACTTCTATCGACACAAAGGTCCGGGTCTGATCATCGTTAACAAAAACTTCCCATTTGCTAAAATCAATCCAATATCTGTTTCACCACAATAAAATGTATTGAAAACCAAAAATCAACAATCGGGTACCAAAAAGTTGCAGGCTTGCAGCGCTGTGTTAAATACAGTACTAAAGTTCATGTAAATGTAACCATATACCGCCTCTGAATTTGAAGCTTCTGCCGCAGCATTGTCACCAAGGAATCAATCTGGTTCACCCGAACCGGGACAGTTCTTCCGAGACTTATATGCAATTTTCTACCTAAAGCAACTTGTTCGAGCTTGTGCTTGTCATTCCGCAGATCGTCAAGCGGGACGTTAACGTCAACGGCATGGAGACCAGGTACCAGAGAAGCTAGCTTGTTCAAAAACAAGGCCATCTCTTTCCTCGGTGCTGGCGGTATATAAACTGAAAGTACACAATTGAACAAGCAAAATCTAACTGCAAAGCGATCGCATTTTTGCTAATCGAGCTGAAATTTTGAGAATTTGATTACCTGGGATGTATACATATACTACGTAGTTCCCTTTGACGTGAGGGAAGTTCCTGACTCTGCTCGGCCGATCGCTTAGTGACAAGTCCAGAAATCCTTCAGAGGACCAAACACTTGGTTGGCAACTTGATGAAAAGCTGTCTCAATAGAAAGTAAAAAAAGAGAGAAAGTTGATGGGAATTGGAGGTTACCCAAGGAATTGGCGCTTTCGCGAAGTGGTAGAGGTGGCGGAGGCAGAGCTGGGGCCGGGTTTTGAGAGTTGTTCAGATCTGGAGGTGGAACCGGTGACTTGGAGTTTGAGGCCGACGACGATGAGTTTCCGTACGAGGCGATCAGGGCCTCCATTTCTCTCTCGCGCAAAAAGTGAACCAGTTCGTCGTGCTATTAACTTGGGCAAGTACTATAAATTTAGTGTGCCGGAACACGACATCATCTGTTATTAAATACGTGGAAAAAGTTTATTTTCTTAATGTTCGTTTATTTATATAATGACATATCATGTACCATTCTATGTTTTGAACGTTTAAAAAAATTTGTAATGTACTAATGAAAATATGTTAAGTCTTTGCATAATAATAGATGTTTGAACCATTCAATAATTAATCTAACAAAATCTATCATTTATTAAAATTAAAAAAAAAAATCACAATTTGAAAGTGTTATTGGGTGAACCATTATCTCCAGCCTTCTACAGTCTACTTGCCGACAGTTTTTTTTTTTTTTTTTTCAACCACAAATTTACATGAAAAGGGGTAGAAAAGGTGGGCTAAACTACTTAATGAGTTAATCTAATTTGGTATCTACATCGAAGAATAAATTGTCGATTTTTCCTTTGAACGTTTACTTATCTTTCGATTTCCTTCATAAACCTTTCAATTGGAAAATTAAGGACTAAAACTAATTTTTTTGGGCGATTTCCCCCTGATGTTAGCTTTTCATTATTTCCATCTAAATTTATGTTAAATGGAAGCATGTGCACAACATTTGATGGTAGTCTTTAAAATAATTGATATCCATAGGAGAGTCACGCAGTGTGCACATGATAAGAGTTAACGTTAATTTGGATGAAATCTATAAAAAAAACTAACGGTAGGAGGAAATCGGCAAAAAAAATAAAAAAAGTTTAAGTTCTTCATTTTCCAATTAAAAAGTTTAGTAACGAAATCGAAAGCTAAGTGAAAGTTTAAGGGAAAATTGATAGTTTACTCTTACAACAAATCTAATTGCAGAGTGAGTTGTCTACCATCCATCATTTTGGTCCTTCAGTTAAAAACTCTTTGGGCAATTTTCAAAGCTTCGTAACTCAATCGTTTCTTAATCAAATTCGACCCATAATATATCAAAATAAAGATAGGAAAGAGTAGAATAAGTTATACCTATTTGGACCTAATATTTTAAGTGAAAGATGATTCGATCGTGTCATCGTATGTCCATAAAATGCACAGGAACTAAAAAAACATATAAATGGATAAGCAGAATCGCTTCTAATTAAGATAATACAAATTTTCTTTTGGAAGGCAGATTTATATCTTTTTTCCAGTTTGATACGAAGCTTGCCATTGCTTGTCGTAGAAGGTAGCTTCATCGGCGAGCTTCCTAAGGTTTCCGAGATCTTGTGTTCGCCTAATGAGTATTATAGCAATGACTGTCACGAAAAACCCTGCCTTGCAGATGAAGTTTCCAGTTTGCCCCACAACCCCGAGCCCCGTTAAGGCATCTACAACATATGCCATGAAGAATCCCACCATTGCCGCTCGACCTAATTACAAAGCAACAAAAATTGAAATTGGGTGTATAAGTTCATGTGACGTTTGATAAAGCAATGCGTGCAGCAAGAGATATGTAATTCTAATAACAGAGAAGTGTGAGTGTGTGAAGTGATGGGTGATCGGAAACAACCGTTGATCAGCTCAGCCTCCGGGAGATAAGATCTCATCATCCATGCCCACCATGGTATGATGGAGCTCCTAAACACTACCGGGTCATCGTTTATAGATGCTTCCGGGTGAAGCTCAAGGAACTTCCTCCTTTTTGCTTCTGCAGTGCCAACACATAAAAAATCAACGACATTCTAATCGAATTTTATATTTGGATTAAATCGAACAGAAGCACAGAAAAATTACAACTCAAACTGAATAAATTACAAACCTGCTAGAATGATGCCATCCCAATCCATCTTGCCATTTTTAGAAAACATATTCAGATCCCATGTCCCATTCTTCCACCTCTCATCCCTGAATTTCACAGCGGACAACTCTGCGCCCCCGAGACCATCCTTTGATTTGGAGTCAGCAGCATCCTCTGCCTTGCGTTTTTCGATGCGTAAAGCAGATTCCTCTTGTGCAGATACGTTCAAACTGTTTGCTTCCACATTCAGAGCAACAACACGCGTTGCTTCTTTCGTCCCCAAAGAGCGAGCTCCTGGTTTCGATTGGGGCTGTTTTGTGACTTGATGTGAGCTGCAAACTGTTTGCAGTGAAGCAGAAATGGCAATTGAAGCCATAGCCCTATCTGAGAGATTTTTTTTTTTTTTTCTTCGTTTTGTTCTTATTGATTTGGTTCTTCAGCTTCTTGATTTCTTCCCCTTTTGCAAATGAAATTGTAGATAGAATTGCAGAAAGTGGGGAGGAAAGCCCATGCTTTGAAATTTGAAAGCTTATCCTCCCTCTCCTATTTTTGTCAGTAAAGTTATGGGCAGCCTTTTTGCTGCATCTGCTTTAACCCCGTGCACTTTGAAGAACAAGTAAAAATTGCCAAAAATGACTGTCAAAGAAATCACTCCTTGGACAGGGGAAATAATTTCCGCACACCCCTTTGCTTGCACACTTATGTGTACTTTTGTCCATTAATTCTTCTTTGATCTAATTCAATCCAAATATTAGAAATAAACAAGGGCGTGCAGGGAAAGAAAAATGCGCTCAAATCTCTTCTCGAGATTAAATATCACATGGAACTATTTACCATAAGCACTACTGATAGGAGTATAATAACAGAAACTAGCAATTTTATCATTAAGACACATTGGAACAAGAAAAATCAGAGTTTTTTTTCCTTAATAAATCAATCCCTCTAATCAAATACAAATTCTGAATGCAAACAGTTACTGCCGAAACAAAAGAGCCGAGAAATTTGGAGGTTAACTAAGAATGGCTTCAAATCTGCCTTCTTCAACTATGACTATATATGTAAAGGGGGAAAAAAGGAAATGCAACAGGCTAACAGAAGAAGCTCCTTATGCTTCCCAACCCCTTAAGTTGGTGGCGCGTGCAACCCGGTTTACACCCAATGTGAAGGCACCCATTCTGAGATTACAATCATAGGTCTTGCACATGCTCTTGATGTTATGAAACGCCCGAGTCATGTACCTCTGAAGCTCGTTATTCACTTTCTCTTCCTCCCACATAAACCCTTGAATGTTCTGCAACAAAATAAGTCGAATTTCAGCATGTTAAAATTATGTCTCTAATATTCAAATGCAACTTAGAAAAATCGAGCTAAAGTCCTGTCAGTCACCTGAACCCACTCAAAGTAGCTAACAGTCACACCACCAGCATTTGCGTATATGTCTGGCAGTATGATAATCCCTTTCTTGGATAAAATCTGCATCAATAAAAAATCATCTCAGAACTGGAACTATCTTTTTCCGTATTCAAAATCCCGGAAGAATGAAAAGGTAACTAGTACCTCATCAGCTTCTGGATCGGTAGGGTGATTTGCTGCCTCAACAATGAATTTTGCTCTCACAGATGAAGCATTTTCCCTTTACAATAAGATGATTAGAACAAATTAATCTATGACAGTGATTATGCAGCCAATATATGCAACATTGTACAAGAAACAATGAAAGGCAGTGATGTTGTCGGAAAAAGCTCAAACCTGTTCAGAACTCCACCTAAAGCAGAAGGGATGAGAACATCGCATTCGTGTATAAGTATCTCATTAGGATCCATGTTATCTCCGCCACTGAAATTTAACAAACTCCCAGTGCTCTCCTTGTGCTTAACCAACTCAATGATATCAAGCCCATTCGGGTTCTTAACTGCACCACTAATGTCACTTACAGCAATGACCTTACCACCTTTCTCATGTATAAGCTTTGCTGCCCAGGATCCCACGTTTCCGAAACCCTATAAAAGTTTACCCAAAACTCAACTTGTTTACATCATTACCGAAACTTCTTAACAAACATGACAGCATCAAACGTGCATACATACCTGAATAACAAAAGTCAAGCCCTTGCATGACTTCCCATATTCTGCAAGTAAAGCTTCTGTTCCAAAAACAACACCGCGACCAGTTGCAGCCTCCCTACCTAGTGATCCTCCAAGATCCTAAAATCCCAAATACACGAGAAAACTTAGGCAGTTCCAGTGACATATATTTGATCCAATTCTAGGAAACCGATTTTCAGCTTAATTTTCTCAGTGTCGAATACTTACTATGGGCTTTCCAGTGACAACAGCTGGTGAGTGACCATGAAATTTGGAGTACTCATCCAAAATCCATGCCATGGTCTGTGCATTAGTGCCCATATCGGGTGCGGGAACATCAGTATGAATTCCAATGAGATCATGGATTTTCTGAGTGAAGACGCGAGTCAGACGCTCCAACTCGCTCATACTTAAGTCCCTGGGGGTGCATCCAATTCCACCCTTGGCTCCACCATATGGAATGTCTGCCACAGCAGTCTTCCAGGTCATCAGCTGAGCCAGGGCATTCACTTCATCCGGATCAACCTTTAAGAAACAAACCAACAACAAATTCAATACAGAATTCACCAACAGAACATACATTTCGCTAATCTATACCGATGTTTTCTTGTGTGATTGCATATGAACAGGTTAGCCAAACCAATTAGAAGCCAAAAACACAATTACAGGTAACGCAAATGCATCATTACACTTGTTCTTAACATATTTATGCAAATCTATTCTCTAATTAATTATACCAGTTCGATTAGTACCCAAAATTTCAGAAACAAAGTTCAACTCCTTTTTTTCATTACTGAAGAGAATCGAACCCTGAACGTATCATAATCCTAACACGTTACCCCACCCCTCCCTCGCTACTTGGACCGAAAAGCTAATATCTTTAACGATCATTCCTTCCCTCCTGGCCTTTTTCTGGAATATGATGATAAAAGTATTCAGCTTTATCTCCAAAAAACAATCAATCACTGGATCTAGACAGAGAACCCCAAAACCCAAATGACATCTTGTCGAACAGAAAAAAATGGATCAAGAAAAAACAACAAAAACAAAATACAAAAACCAAATTAAGACATCATCGTCACCTCAGGATGATATCTGATCCCTCCCTTCATTGGTCCACGTGCATTATCATGTTGCACTCTGAATCCAACGTACGACACCAAACTTCCATCGTCCTTAGGAATTGTGCACTCCACCTAATCAACACACACACATATACACACAAAGTTCAGAACTTTCTCAAGAAACAAACAGAAATTAATCAAAACATTTACTCTAAACAAAAAAAAAAACAAAAAAAGACAGAAAAAGCAGCTGATGAACAACCTTGATCTCTCTGAAGGGGATCAAGAGACTCTTCTCAATCTTCGCATCGAGTCCGAGAATGCGCGCGGCGTTTTTGAAATTGCGGCTTGTTGCGGCGAGGGCGTTCATGGCTGCCGATCAAACTCGAAAACAGAGAAAACCCAGAAAAAATGATGTGATGGGAAATGCTCAAAGCACCAGAAAAACTCCAAATTTGTAGGAAAGTAACTTGGGTTGCGGTAAAAATGGTGAAATGGGGTAAGTGAGCCAGTCAAAAACGAAGACTGCGAGTTGGGCAAAGGGTGAAGTGGTTGGTGAGTATATATAGGGAAGGAGGAGTATAAAATGAAGGCAGAGCTGCCACTGATTTTAGAGAGAGAGAGAGAGGGATTAGTGCTGTGTGTATGCTTAGATGGATACACTAATGAGGATTTATAGGGATAAGATTGAAGAGCTTGGTCAAGCAAATAGCTAACAAGAACAGTGGTGATTTACGAAAAAGCCACTCGGATCTGATGCTTGGTGAGTTATGAGATGAAGGGCACAACCGTCAATGTAGTGAGCAGTCAAGGAAAGCCAGCAGGTGAAATTATGTGCAATGGGAGGGAGATGGGTGACGGCCAATGAAATTTTGCCTGGTGGAAAACAACCTCATCGAGACGCCGCGCGCTAGGCTACTAGTTTGGACCGCGTTTCGCCGCGTTTTGGTGATGACGTGGAGAGAGATGATTGGAAGGAAAGGAATCGTCCTCGGACTTTTCTACCAAATCCATCAAATTCTTTAATTTGAATCCTTGAAATTTGATTCAATAGTTAAAACTATTATAACTTTTAAAGGAGATTCTTATTTTTAGCCGTTGAATCAAATTTAAAGAGTCCGGATTAAAGAATTTGGTAAAAAGGATCTGGAGATGATCCTTGATTGAAATGGAAGGTGACCGTATGGATCAGTATCCTCTCCTAAGCAAAGGGTGAGGATCCTCCTGACCAAACTCATCAGGCAGTTGAAATTTTATCCAACGGTTACAAACATGGAGCCCCTCTAAAAGTTATAATAATTGTACTCGTTGGATAAAATTTTAACGGTCTGATGAACTTGATCAGGAGGATCCTCATCCTTTGCTAAGGAGAGGATCCCGATCCGTGACTGTATAACGTGTTAGTTTTGATTTTTGACTTTTATCCTTTTTTATTTGCTTGAAATTTAAAAGGTGTCGTGCAGTATCTAAATTGTAATTATTTTTTTAAAATATTGGAATAAGCTTTTTTATCTCTTTGTTTCTACCTGTGGTTTGGAATAAGCTAGGTCACTCATTTGGACCGACGTTTCGCCGCGTTTTGGTGATGACGTGGAGAGAGATATGATTGAAATGGAAGGTGACTGTATAACGGGTTGGTTTTGATTTTTGATTTTTATCCTTTTTTATTTGCTTGAAATTTAAAAGAAAAATTAATGAAAAATGTTTAAAAATTTTAAATTTTAACAATAAAGATAAAATAAAAGGTAAAATGAATAGTACCATGATTAATTTTTTAGTGTAAAAATATGATTTTTATTAAAATAAACATTATCGAAAGCTTTTCGTTAAAGTTCTCAAATTTAAAAGATGCTGTGCAGTATCCGAATTATATTTATTTTGTTAAAATATGAAAAAGCTCGGTCTCGGCGCATTATGACTGAATTTGGAAAGAGAACTTGCTTGGTACCAAAAGACGTGAATAGCATGCTTTAATGTTATAATGTGCGACTGAGCATTCATCGCAAATCTTTTGGTAAAAATTGGAGACCGAAAGGTCCAAGCTTTGGTGATTTCCTTAACAAAATAGGCACAAACAATAAGATTCATGAAACGTTCGCTTTCTCTCTTCTTGAAACTTTGTCTACTTTGCTAGCACCTAAAGAACATCCATCTCTTTACACAAAAGAGGGAGAATCAAACTCAAAATCTCGAGCACAAAGGTAAACGCTATTAACTTACATACAAATCCCAAGCAAATATGACCCATGAAATCAGATTTTCATGTAATTAGTCTTCATCAGATGCTTGAAGGCAAATAATGATGTATACCGCTTAGCCATCGTATCATCATGGAGTTCAAATTCGGAGAAAAATCGTTCTGATCAATCCAAAGCAAAGTACATTTTACTCTACCAGTAAAGATTGACAACCGATCGAAGGGCAGTTTTGAGTTAGGCCTTTAGCAAGGCACCTAAACAGATCTTCAACTCAATCGAAACTAGTAGAGGGCATAAACAAAACTGTCTTCCAAGCTTAAAAAGAAAAATACCAGATGGTCTTCTCAAAGCTTTGTGATATAACGTCATGATCTCACCAACCAAACTCACATGTGCTCATAAGTGCCCTCAAAGATTCTAAC